AAAAAAAAAAAAAAAAAGATAGCTGGACAGACAGATTGATAAATAAATACATAAGAAAGAAAGAAAGAAAGAAAGAAAGAAAGAAAGAAAGAAAGAAAGAAGGAAAGAAAGAGCCCTGCTCTGCCACTTACTAGTGAATGACCTTGGGTAAGTTATTCAATGCACTCAGTTTTCTCATCTATAAAACGGACAAAAGACTTCAATCTCTCACACAATAATGACATAATAAAATACAGAATGTAACACACTTCCTAGGTTATTTTTTGCTACTATTATTTTGCTATTGCTATTATTAGTTTACCAGTATTATTACTAAAGGTTACACTAATAATAACATAAAAGAGACAAAACAAATAAATGACTTATAATTCGCCTCCCAGTTCTAATTAACAGGGTTCCACTTTGTTGGTAATGATTAAAATTTTTCTTTTTTTGAAAAATACCTTAATCTTTGGTGAAACTATAACATGATCTATCTAAAAGTGTCTCCCAGCAACAAAGTGCACTCCTGAAAAAACTATCTTTGTACGTGGCACAAGGTGGGGGTGTGATAGATGCTGTATACCTTTTCCCCTATCAACGACCAAAAGAAACAACACAGGATACCTGGGCTCCAGCAGGCCTTGCTGCACTCCCCAGGCCATCTCTCTCACAGCACTGGTGATTTCATGACGGGACGTGTATGCAAAGCAGACATTCAGGAAACACCTGAGGAGGGAAGAACAGAAGAGTTTATCAGACAGGCACAGGGACTGATGACTAGTGCCCCTGATTACAGAGCAGCCCCTTCCTGGAAGGATGTACACACCAAATGTTAACTATTTATACTTCTGGAAGATGAGATTATGAATTTTTTATTATTTCAAAGATCTTTTGGAAGAAATATGCTGTTAATTTCACAATAAGACAAACACTGAACCAAACAGCTTTTATTGTCCTCCTGACCCTCTCCCTTTCTACCGTCAACCGGCTTACAGAGGATGTGAGTCCACTGAGAAGCAGCACGCACAAAGGAGATCTGACACAAAACAAACCCAGTGTCAAACACATCACGTTCTAATGCCACACCGGTAAATTTAGATTACTGAATTCCATTCCTTTCTGCATTTGTGTGATCTTCCAAGGTCATCCTGTCCACGGGTTAAAGGAGTGGGAGAGAAAAATAATTTCTTAGGGGATTTGTTTAAAAAAAAAAAAAAAGATGGCTATGGCATTTTCATCTGAATTCTTGTCAGGTTAAAAAAATACATGTGTGTGTATGTGTATACAACTTTGGGATGGGATGGGGAAAAGATGAGAAAGTATGTCTAGATCTTTGTTTTGGTTTGGTTTTGTGAGATAGGGTCTCACTATGTAGTTCAGCCTGGCCTTGAACTCACTATGTACTCCAGGCTGGCCTCCAACTCATGGTGATCCTCCAGCCTCAGCCTACAAGTGCTGGGATTACCGGTATGCACCACCACACTTGGCAAGAAAGTGTATCTATGTTTGAGTAAACACAGATATAACATGGTACTGCAGTAAGAGCTCTAGTCTGCCCTGCAAAAAGGAAGAAGTCTATAAGTACCCCAAACAAGTCCCTCATTGCCCATTACACAAAATGCAGATCAAGGAAAGTTCAGAATGGCTCCCTAAAACTAGCAAGGAGTGCAAGATTGATAGAGGGAAATCTGGAAACTTACTTATTGTAGTTCTTAGTGGCCCGTACAGCTTGTGCAATCAATTCTTGGAGATCCAAGGGCAATAAATACAGATCTCCCAGGACCCGGATGCATACCCCATACTTCTGCAGCTTCTCCCTGGTTAGGAAAATGAAAGCAGTATTGGGACACAGATGGAGAGAGAAAGATGCTCAGATAATAATCAACCACCAGTTTCTGAGTGCTTTCCTGTGTCTGGTACTGTATTATGCATGTTACTTCCCTGTTCCCTGTCACAGCTCTAAAAGTTTACTATAACACTGAGCTCAAGATAGGCCAGGACAGTCAGATAGTGACCTCTAAGATCATACTGTCATCATATGCTGGGTCTGGACTGAACCTCAGGTCTGTCTGCCTTGAAAAATCTAAGCTCTTGCCAGGTGTGGTGGTACATGCGTGTAATCCCAGCACTTGAGAGGCTGAGACAGGAGGACTGCCATGTGTATGAGGCCACCCTGGGCTACATAGTGAGACTGTCTCAAAAACCAAAACCAGTAACAAAACACTACGCTCTTAACTACACATTAAAGCACACAAGTGTCCTTGCTGCTGGGCTGCATTCCACACATTCTGGGGTCTTTCCCATTATGACAAGCAAACTGCTCAAAGGCAGGAGTTATATTATTAATTATTTTTGTTATGTTCTGATGAAACATAATGATGATAGTGACAGCTAACAGCCAGCCATGGTGGTACACAATTGTAATCCCAGCATTTGGGAGGCTGAGCCCAGAGAACCGCCATGAGTTAGAGGTCAGCTTGGGTTACATAGAAAGTTTAAGGCAAAGGCCAACCTGAGACCCTGTCTCAAAATATGAAAAATAGTAACAGCTAACATTATGTTTCCTAGGCCAGGTATGGTGGCACACGCCTATAATCTCAGCACTCGGGAGGGGAGGATCCTTGCAAGTTGGAGACCAGCCTGAGTTACAAGTGAGCTCAAGGCCAGCCTGAACTGCAGAGACAATGTCTCAAAAAAAAGACATTGTTTCCTACGTGCCAAACAGTAGTCTAAGTGCTTTACATGTTCTAGCACAGTCCATCCTTAGTTAAATCTTTTGAAGTAGATTCTGTAATTATTTTAACAAATGAGGACAGCAAGGCACAGGGAAATTAGGTGATTTGTTGAAGCAGCTGGTAAATGGATAGCTAGGATTTAAACCTGGGGAATCTGGCCACAGACCCTGTCCTCTTAATCACAATATTATACCACTTCCATACCATTAACTCCCAGTCTGCACACAGTGAGAATGAATACACTGCACTATTACCCAGCTTCTCTGAACTGGGGACACTGTGTGCTATGGAGAAACTGAATGCTTCATGCTTGGGAAGTGGTTATTTAATGTGGGATGGGGTGGTCCCTGGTAGGTCCCCAAAGACCCTCATCCAGAACTGAAGGCCACATATGTACCCTATTTATTATATTTAACCTTCAACCACATTTCCTCAGAGGTTGCGAAGGAAGATCTAACCACCGATGCTGGAGACCCTACTGGCGCTGTAGTATACAAATGTATCGTTGAGTCAAGGCAAAATCTGAGTAAAAAAGGCACATCTATAACCCTAGCACTCAAGAAGGCTGAGGCAGGAGGATCACAAGTTTGAGTGGTACCTGGCAACAAGGTGAGACCCTTCTCAAAATTAAAATTAAAAGGTGATTTAAGCCCTGGGTTGAATTCCTAATAGAGGGGGTGGGAGGAATGGACCCTAGATTCTAGACTTAGTACCCATGTACTGACCTTGTATAAACACTTGGCCTCTCTGAGGTCAGTCTCTACCTGCCCTTTCCACCTTCCAAATCTGTCAGCTTGGGAGCCAGAAAGGCCCAGCGGACACTATGGCTCTGCCTGTTTGATTACTTTATGATCAAGACATAGGCCTTAACTTCTCTGGCTTTTATTTTCTTTCTCTCTAATTTTGGGCTAATATTTGTTTCTCATGAAATAATGTGACTGTTAAATTGGAATACATCTTAGGCTAAAGGCCTGGCATATGGGGCCTGGCAAAAAGTAGTGCACACTTTAAGAAGGTAAGAATTTGAACACTTGAATGTGTTCCTCACATTTCTGTCCCGTCACCTGCGGGTGAGCTCTGTATCACAAGGCTCTGTTGGGAACTAGGGGGCAACGTCTGTGGCTCAGGATCTTACCATCTTATGGACAGAGGAAAGCCTGGCCACCCTCCCTACCACCCTGACCCATTAAAGCTGACAGAACCAGCTTCCCAGAGGGTCCTTCCAGGCCCTTCTCTGGTGGAACTTGAGGCTCCCTTCTCTCATCTTCCTAGTTGTGGTGGTGTAGGTAGGAGCTGGGCAGCCAACAGCTGTAGAGAACACTTTTGGGCAGCTCTGACAGAAGAAGGCTCTACAATTTGAGGCAAATGATATCCATCTATCTTCTTTTTTGCCCATTTCTGGCTTTGCTCCCTATATTAAGCCTACACTCAATGACAGCTAAGAAAGGTACTGCAGCTGTAGCTAAGGACGATACTGATACCTCCCCACGGAGTCTCTTATGCATCATCCCATCCTACCCAATACTGCAGGGGGAGCATAGTAACTGTGCAGTAAGTCTTTGTGCAATAGAAAATGACTTCCTCTTCTTTCCCTCTACTTCCCTGGCCACAATTTATTGGTTCTGGGGTAGAAATTTGATCAGAGGTGGGCCAATTAAGAGATTTAGTTTGTTGTGGGTTGTTCCTCTGAAAGCTGCTCTGTAGAGAGAGAACGAAATAAATGGATAAGGAAACTCTCACTAATACCGGCTTTTATTTTTGTTTGAGGCTGGCTATACTTAAATTCTGTGAAATACCTCAGTATTCTCAAATATATGCACCCCCCCACCAAAAAAAGACAGAAAGAAGTCAGTCAGTCAGGTGTGCTGGCACAGATTTGTAATCCCAACAACTCAGAAGGCTGAGGCAGGAAGACCCAAGTTTGAGGCCAGCCTGTGCAAGTTAGCAAGAACTTGTTTCAAAAACAAAACAAAACAAAGGTTTGTTGATGTAGCACAGTGGTAGAGGGCTTGTCTAGCATGCGAGGCCTTGGATTCAATCTCTGGTGCTGGAAGGTGGGAGGATAGGGAAGGAAAAGGAGGGGAGATGGACAGGGAGAGAGGAGAGGGAAAGAGAGAGAGAAAACAAAGAATGAATGACTTGCATTTCTAATACTTGCCAAAGAGTTCTAAAATTAAAGGGACTTAGAATGCTTCACATGCGCCCCAGATAACAGAGCTGTGAGGGCTAGAGAATGGCTGAGGTGGTGGAAGAACAAATTTGCTCCTTGGACAGCATCTTACTGTTCCTTCATCAAGTAGGTAAACTTCTCTCGGGCCAGATCCAATATCCCGTCCACCTCATTCTTGGAACGTTTGAAGTTCTCAATGCTGAATGCGTAGACCGTCACCTCGAGGATGCCCAGGTTCAAACACCAGCGCAGAGTCTGAGAGGGGAGAAAGCAAGCAAACAGGTGGGTACAAGGAGAGTAGGATGGAATTAAGAGATTCTTTTACCCTGTTCAAAGTTGGAGGTGGAAAACCGACTTTTCTCATACCCAAACCTGGGTAAAGCTAGGATTACATCAGTGCTTGTATCCGAACAATTAAATAGGCAGAAAGTGCAAAATGTGATTTTAGTGAACAACACTATACTGATTCCATTGTGACTCGCAGGAAAGAACTTTTCACTAAGAACATAAAGACTTATGTTCTAGCCCCTGATTAAATCATGGACGTGCTATGGAACAGTAGGCAAATCATTTACTCTCCCAGGGCCCTAGTCTCCTTATTACAACGCATCTCTCACCAAGTGGCCAACAAGCATTATAAAACTGTAAGATATCATTAAAGCATAACTGCATCATTCTGTTCTTTTTTTTTTTTAACTTTGGTACCGGAAATCAAACTCAGGACCTTGCGCTTGCCAGGCAGGCACTCGTGCCACTGAGCTACATCTGCAACCCTGCAATATTCTGGTAGACTAAGAAGCTGGTAAGTTTTTTTATTTGTTTGTTTGTCTGTTTTGCGGTACCGGGGATCAAACTCACGACCTTGTGCTTGCCAGACAGTTTTTTTTCTTCTTTAAGACAGGGTCTCACTGTGTAGTTCAGGGAGGCCTTGAACTCACTATGTAACCCAGGCCAGCCTCCAACTTGTAATCTTCCTGCCTCAGTCTCCTGTGTGCTGCGATTACAGGCATGTGCCAACTATACCTGGTTTCAAGAGTGATAAGAATAAAAAACCTACTACCACTGACATTAGGTACAGAAGCTGAGAAGCTGAAGCTGAGAATAACTTGATTAAAGCAATAACTTGATCAGACAGCTGTGTAGCATTTACAGTCAAATTTGCCTTTTCAAATATATTATTTCACTTGATTTTTCAATCATTTAAAAGTGGCATTATGGGTTCCATGTCTACTTTACAGATAATAAAACAGGCTCTGAGAGTTGAAGAATCATGCCAAAAGCCTGTAATTCTACTGTATGATTTAACTATAGGAAGTTCTAGAACAGGAAAAGTAAATCTACAGTTACAGAAATCAGAACAGGGCTTGCTTGATGAGGGGAGGAGGCAGAACAGGGATGGACCTTGAAGGGGCACAAAGGAACCTGTGGAAAATGGTTTAGTATCCTGACATGGGCATAGGCTAGATACATGAATGCAAATGCCCAAATCCCAAATCTATATATCACTGTATGAAACAGATCATACTTCACCTTAATTTTTTTTTATGTGTGTGGGTACCGGGAATCAAACTCAGAACCTCACGCTTGCCAGGTAGGCGCTCTGCTCCCTTAAAACTGGGCTGGGTGTGTAGCTCAGTGGTAGATAGCTTCCCTAGCATGTGCGAGGCCTTGGGTTTGATCCCCAGTTCCACTCTGAAAAAAAAGTAAGAAACTCATACTCAGTTCTTTGGGGTTGCTCTAACCTAGTACCACTGAGAGGTAGTACTAGAGTATCAGGTAGAGAATTAGGTAGAGAAGCTGAGAATAACAATGTTGAGGTGGGGAGCTGAAGACTAAAGGCAGAGGACAGAAGACATTCAAACAGAGCCAAGAAACCAAAGCTTCAGAGCTACCTCTCTAATCCCTTACCAGACAGATACGCATGCAAACAAACCCAGTAATACCTTAGGAAAACACCTGTACGAACCCGACACATGGAATAGACAGGGTTGTTTTGTAGGGGAGTGAGACTATTTGAGATAGGCTTGTAGTCCAGGCTTGCCCTGAATTCCCCATGCAGCCCAGCCTGGCTTTGAACTTGTGATATTCCGGCCTTAACATCTTAAAGTAATTAGATTACAGGTATATGTCACCATGCTTGGCCTAAGCTCAGATTCTACAGCCCTTGTAAGGCAGATTCTCTGAATGGTTCATCTGGATCAGAACCCATGGCTACTAACAAAAGTTTAATTTTTTTTAGCACTTTGTTTAGGTCAAGCCCTATACCAAATGCTTTTTATCATGCTATCTTACTTAATCTTCACATTAATCTCGTAAAATACATGTTGCTAACACTGTATTAGATGAAGAAACTGAGGCAAAAGAAAGCTGCATAAATTACTACAGGCCACACAGCCAGGAAGTGGCAGGGCAAGAGTGGTAATGAGTTCTTTTTCTTAAAAGAGATTAAGAACTATGTCCAAGACAGGCATTACGTACGGCACATGCTTGTTAATATCAGCACTCAGCGGAGGCTGACGCAGGAGGATCACTGAAAGCTAGAGGCCAGCTTAGTGAGTTCAAGGCCAGCCTGAACTAGCAAGGTCAGACTGCTAGGTCCTGCTAGCAGGATCCCATCTCAAAAAACACAAACAAAACTCATTGTTTATATCAGTGAGTTCTGAATGATTCCAGAGGCTAAGCTTCCAAACTCTAGGCAAAACTGCCTCTTAGTTACGAAAGAGAACCAAAGGTCAATAAACCTAAGATTTCTACAGTGTGCTAGAGAGAAGCTGTCTGCCAACTGCTTAAGGTAAAAAAATATTACTGCCATGTAATCAGGGCATGTTCTTTTTTTTTTTTTTTTTAGTACCAGGAATCAAACTTAGGACCTTGCACTTGCCAGGAAGGCGCTTGGGCCGCTAAGCTATATCCTCAGCCCTAAATTATCTTTTTTTTATGTGGGTACTGGGAATCGAACTCAGGACATTGCACTTTGCCAGGCAGGCGCTTGTGCCACTGAGCTATATCCCCAGCCCTCAGGACATGTTCTTGTGCCTAAAGGCTACAGACTTTATTTCCATTCTTCTAAAAGTTATTTGCATAAAGGGGTAGGGGTGCAGCTCTTGGAAGAATGAGCCAAGAGGCTCATATTAGCACATATGAGGGCCTGGACTCAATTTCCAGCACCAAAAGAAAAGTTAGTTTAAACTGGGTGTCTTGGTATAAGCCTATAATTTCAGCATTCTGGGAGGATGAGGCAGTGGGATCACAAATTCAAACCCACCACAGGCAGTTTAAGTGATTTAGCAAGACCATGTCCACAAATAATAAACAAATGAACAAACAGCTGGGATATAGTTCAGTGCCCTGGGTTTAATCCCTAGTACTAGGAGAAAAATAAAAGCTTCATCAAGGCTTTTTGTATTCCATTCCCATTGTTAAATGTAATGTTTCCCAATATCCAATATGCACTGAAATCATCAAATGTTCATGACTTTTATGAAGACTAATGTCCCATTTGACCTAGGACTTTCCCTAGCTTAGCACTGAAAGGCATCCTGAGAAACTCCTCAGCCTTGGCAAAGTAGGACGAGTAGGCACCCAACCTTTGCTCCAGAAATGTCACTTCTAAAAATTTACCCTACTACAAACATATACTAACTAAAAAAAAAAAAAAAATTTATCTTAAATCAGCACTTTTAAAAATTGGCACTATTTATCACATGTATTTATAATATCCCATAACAGTTAAACTGCTAAACATTATATCAGATACCTATGACAAAATTTATTTATTTTTCCTTTTTTTTTTTGAGACAGGGTCTCACTATGCAGTTCAGGCTGGCCTTGAGCTCACTTTGTAGCCCAGGCTGGACTTGAACTTGCAATGATCCTGCTGCCTCATCCTCTCCAGTTCTGGGATTACAGGCGTGCACCCCCATGCCTGGCCCCCATGATAACATTTATAGTTAAAAAGGATATAGATTAACTTAGAAAAACAACTGTCAGAATGTCAAACGAAGTTATTTGAACTATCAAGGCAATCCTATAAATGTTGTTATGTAGGACATACTATATACCCACTGAATGAGGTACAGAATAATTAATAATTTATTAAGGTAATAGGAGGTGGCTAACATTTTGTGATGATTCACTGGACAATTTTTTTTTTTTTTATTAATGTCAACATAACATCAATACTCAGCAAGCAAGCAATAAAACAGAGAAAGAGTACTAAAAACTTTTCAAACCACAGCAAACTCAGGGCCTCATTTTCTAGCCATAATTCAATTCTCCGCCAGGTGTGGTGGCACATGCCTGTAATCCCAGCACTCGGGAGGCTGAGGCAGGGGGATCACTGTGAGTTCGAGACCAGCCTGGGCTACAAAGTGAGCTCAAGGCCAGCCTGAACTGCACAGCGAGACCCTGTTTCAAAAAGACAAAAACAAAAAACAAAAACCAAAAATTCAGTTCTCCACAGATTGTTCACTTTAGATTCGGCCACCTTACACCCACCTCAGCCAACTTGTTGAAGCCCTGCGAGTGGCCCTCTTGCCGCTCCACCTGGCACTTTTTGGCATAGCGACGGTTCCCATCCATTATGAACGCAATGTGTTTGGGCATTGGGCCTGCCTGTGAAATAAGAAGATAAGTAATAAGCTAAGTCATATTCTCCAGGGATGAGGGAGCGGGGTGCTACATACCAAGCTGACAGGTTAGAGCTATAGAATAAAAACTCTAACAAAAGGACTTGGGTATTTTAAACTTTTGGCTCAATACAACAGTATTAAGGACTTTCTTTTCTTTCTTTCTGTCTGTCTGTCTGTCTCTCTCTCTGAGGCAGGGTCTCATTATATAGTTCAGGTTGGCCTTGAACTCACTATGTACCTAGGCCGGTCTCAAACTCAAGGGGGTCCTTCTGCTTCAGCCTCTCAAGTGCTGGGATTACAGGTATGTGCAGCCATACCCGGCAAGAATTTTATTTGTATTTATGTTTAATGAGCACCACTACATGCCAAATACTATGGTAGGCTTTTTATATTTCCCCTTATCATACAACTCTATAATGTAAATAGTATTATCTTCATTTATAGGTGAAAAAATTGTGTCTCAGGAGGTCAAGTGACTTACAGTTATGCACCTTAAGAATAAACAAAGCAGGGTTGGGGATGCGGCACAAATGCCTGCCTGGCAAGCACAAGGTCCTGAGTTCAATCCCCGGCACCAAAACAAACAAACAAACAAAAAAACAAAGAATAAACAAAGCAAACCAGGCTTGGTGGCACATGCCTGTAATCCCAGCACTTGGGAGGCTGAGGCAGGAGGATCGTTCCAAGTCCAAGACCACCCTGGACTACAAAGTGAGCTCAAGGCCAGCCTGAACTGCACAGTGAAACCCTGTCTCAAAAAGACAAAACAAATAAATAAAGCAAGGATTCAAACTGAGGTCTGTCTGTCCAGAGTTCATCTAATTTTCCCTCTCTCTCTCTCCCCCTACCTCTTTTATTTTTTTGAGACAGGGTCTTGCTATGTAGTTCAAACTGGCCTTGAACTCACTATGTAGCTCTGGCTAGCCTTGAACTTGTGGTGATCCTTCTGCCTCAGCTTCTGAATACTGGTATTATAGGTGTGCACCACCATCCCCAGCTGGAGTTCATCTTTTAACAATATGCTCTTTTTTTCTCCTTGGTTTTTTGAGACAGGGTCTCACTATGCAGTTCAGGTTGGCCTTGAATTTCCCTATGTAGTACAAGCTGGCCTCAAGTACAAACTTGCAGCAATCCTCTTGTCTCAGCCCTCTGAGTGCTGGGATGACACACGCGCCACCACACCCAGCACCAATATGCTCTGTGCTACCATCCTGGTTTCGTGAGTCTCCAACAAGAAGAGAAAGCAAGAATACTGATTGACAGTACAATCAAATGAAGGGGGCATCTTCCATATGAAAGAAGCATCAAGCCAGAAACAGTGGCATGCACCTATAGTGCAAGCTACTTGGGTATCTGAGCAGGATTGCTTGACCCTGGCGTTAGATGCCACCCCCGCACTCCCCAAAAAGGAAAAAAGAAGGCACTCACTCAGCTCTAGCCAAGCACTGCCACAAAGGAATTGGGACCCAATATTGTTCTAGTTTTCTAACTGTCCAAGAAACCAAATATCAGGATTTTTATAAAAATTGAGAAGCACAGTGGCACACATCTGTAGTATTAGCTACTTGGGATGCTGAAATAGGAGGATCATTTGAGCCGAAGAGTGCAAGGCCACACTGATAAACGGAGACCTGTCTCATAAAAAAGAAAAATTCAATCTCAGGATCCATTTCAAAACAAAGATATTTTTTGAGATAGACAAAATTCCTTATCTGGAAGAGAGCAATTCTGGGTTGCCTACCATAGCAAAACTTGAGTCCTTAGTATATCTTTCCTCACTTGGAAGGACTCATCACTGAGTAATTACCCAATACTTCTGTAATATTTTTTACTTTTATCTCCCACATGTCAGGTGTGGTGGCACATGCCTGTAATCTCAGCCCTTGGGAGGCTGAGGCAGGAGGATCGTTGCAAATTCGAGCACAGCCTGGGCTACAAAAGTAAGCTCAAGGCCAGCCTGAACTGTATAGTGAGACCCTGTCTCAAAAAGACCAAAAAGAAAAGGCTGGGGGTATAGCTCAGCAGCACAAGTGCTTGCCTGGCAAGCCTGAGGTCATGAGTTCAATTCCTGGTACCAGAAAAAAAAAATAGAATCAAAACCACTATCTCCCACATAAAGCCTTTTCAAAAAACAAAACAGAAATACAACCCTTGCCTAGCATGCACAAGGCCCTAGGTACAATTCCCCACCCCCCATAAAAGCTGCTTGACACTCTGGCTGCTTGATATTAGTGGTTTATATGTATGTTTAATTTATCCTCCTACTAACTTTATAGTTATTAAAAGTCAGATACTTAGTAAATAATAGGACTTTCCCCCATGCTTGGCTGCCTCCAGGGCCCAAATTGCTAACTACTGTGCTGCCACATCAAAGAAAGATTATTTTATCTTGGAATAATAACAGTGGGTCAAAGTTCCAAGGAAATATCCAGGAGTGGTGGCAGAAGTGGCGCACGCCTGTAATTCCAGCGGTCGGGAGGCTGAGGCAGGAGGATTATTGTGAGTTCGAGGCCAGCCTGGGCTACAAAGTGAGCTCCAGACCAGTGTGAACTGCACAGCGAGACCCTGTCTCAAAAAAAAAAAAAAAAAAAGAAAGTTCCAAGGAAACAAACTTCAGTTTTCTAGAAGGAATCCCTAACAGTCTATGCTACCAATGATGCTAGGAGACCCTGAGCTGCTCGAAAATGTCAGATGGAACAATAACTTACCGGAAACCTAGTCCTGAAAGTTACAATTCTAAGGGTTAGTGCCTTTGCTAAATTCCACTTAACATCAACGACTGCTCAACTTTAATAAACAAGTTTTGATAAAAATTACCCAACTGACCAAAAACGACAACTAGTGCTCTGAGCGACTGCTCACCTTTAGGACGTTGGCACAGAATCGCTCCCAAAGTGATAGCTCTCCTTCCTTGATCCATGACATAATTCTTGCCCCGTCAGTAAATCACCCCCCTAAACAAGATACCAGCCAGATAACCTTGGAAAAGAAAGTGGAAAATAATAAATCACCAGTGCTTCCAAAAAGCTACACCTGACTCCTAGAGATTCGCGTGGACTCTGGAGGACAGCCAGCACTAGAATCCAAAGACACTGGTCGAAGCTGCCAATCTTTAACCACCCAGAGATGTACAAGCCAAAGGTACCTTTGGGACAGAAAGCCTTTGTCTCGTTCTTAGTGGATTTTGATTCCATTTTCTTTTCTTCCTCATCTGTACTGACTCTTTAACATCTAAGCCTCCTTCCTGCCACATCACAGCGCCTACTTCTTGAGCATTCCCCGTCTCTTCCCTCTCAATCTCCCACCCAAACCACTTCAGTCTGCATTCCCAGTCACTAACCCCTTCAGCTGCTGCACGCGTGACCTCATACCTTATTGGTTTGCTAGTTATTCTTAATTTTACTTTTATCCTTTCCGCAGTTTTTTCCTCACTCTGTCACCTCTCTGGTCCGCTCGGATCCAGCACCTGCGTGGTTCTGCCGGGCGTATTTCAACTGCTACAGAGCGTCGACACTTCCTCACGACGTGGCGCTGGGAAAACACGTCATGGCCGCTGGACCACGCCCCTTCCGTCACCCAGTGGGCGGGGCCCCAGCCTGCGCCCGCGGGCGAGGTTGGGAAGCAACTGGAGCGCTCTGGGTCTGTTGGCGCACGCTCCCGGCAAGGTGTGGGCGGGGTACCGGGAAAGCCGAGCTCACGTGACCGAGTGGGAGCCGGTGAGCGCGCTCCAGAGCTTGGGCTGGGGATCTGGGTGAGGAAGGCGAGCTCGAGCGCAGTAGGGGGAGCAGGAACCCCTCTGGAAAATATGGTCAGAAGCTGTGTGGTTTCTCGGCGGCTGACATTACTTAGCAGAGAAATGGGGTAAGGCGTTCAGCCAGTCGGGTTTCCGCTGGAAGTTGTAATAAGTAGAACTAGGTTTACTTAGGAGCGTTGCTACGGTTTAGCCTTTTTGTTTTGTTTTTCAGACAAGGTCTCACTATGTAGTGCAGGCTGGCCTTGAACGCCCTTATGTAACTCATGGCAGTTCTTCTGCCTCAGCCTCCGCGCCCCGCTACGATTTAGTTTTAAACTTCGTATTTTTACAGTATTGCCTTTTATCTGGCGGATTTAATCGCTTGGGAAGAAGTCCCTAGCCCTGGTCAATCTTGAGCTCTTGAGTATCACCCCAGACTTTATGACTTCCGGATTTCCCCGCGCCACCTAAAGCCGCTCAGACGTGGGGGAGAGGGCCAAAAACATCTGTGCTCTAAGAATAACTTCTAGGTTCAATCCCAGTACCGCTAAATAAAGGCTTCTAAAGTAATGTAAAAGCCAGCAGGGCGCTGTGGAGCAAGTCTGTTATCGCAGCTATTTGGGAGGCTGAAGCAGGATTGAGTACTAGACCAATCTGGGTAATTTGGCGAAATCTTCTCTGTACCTGAGTATTACTACCAAGAAAAAAGAGAAAGAAAACACCAGGCCGTCATTAACCAAGGTAGAAAAATCAAGGGTAACCTTGCTGGACTTCTAGGCACTGATTTTCAGAAACTGGTAGTTCATTCTCTCAAAATTGAAAAAACATGTATAGTACTGTGATGCAACCAGTATTCCTTTCTTTTTTTTATTTTTTTTTTTTTTTTTTTTTTTTGGTCTTTTTGAGATAGGGTCTCGCTATGCAGTTCAGGCCGGTCTTGAGCTCACTTTGTAGCCCAGGCTGGTCTCGAACTCGCTGGTCAACGATCCTCCTGCCTCAGCATCCCGAGTGCTGGGATTACAGGTGTGTGCTACCACGCCCGGCAGTATTTCTTTCAAAGGATAAAGCAACTTTCATCTGAACAGTTTCAACAAACCTTCTTGTCTTACCTCATTTTGCCTTGTGGTTTCAAACAGGAGAAGGAATAGATGTAGCAATGCCACTGCATGTCTTCCTCTTTTTGACGAAAAGGTTATTTTTAAAGGAACAGTCAGGGTGTGTGGCTTAGTAGACTTCCTGGTGCAGGAGGCCTGTGTTTCTTCTCCCCCATGGGGAAGCAGGGTACCCAACAGAGGCAGTATGATTAAAGAGAGCCCTGGAGATGAGTAACTCACCTTTCCTCTGCATTGTGAAGCAGGGATTCACTTTCAGCCTAGCAGTTATTTCAACTTTGCATGAAGTCCTTTAACATAAGCCCAGTAGTACTTTGCTGAGCTGTGAGCTTCCACTGTCAGCCCTGAGTTTTGAAAGTACACTTAGTTAAGGGGCCACAAACCTCCCGGACAGACTCCATGAAACTTCTAACCCTTTCTCTGGTTGGGTTGCCAGAGTTTGAAGCATTAATCCTTTTTGTTTCCTTGCACTTTCTTGGTTTGCCTCAAATGAGCGATTTTCCCCTTGAGGGGAGAGAGATGTTTAAGAATTCAATATTCATTAGAATGCTAGCAAATTTTGGCCCAAAGGAAATGTTGGTTTATAGTTAGTGAATCACTTTTGGCCTCAACTTCTCCATTTCCGAATCATACTTTCCTTCTTAGGTGCTGCAAGGGGTTAATTAATTAAGATTTGTAAAGGGCTTTGAGGAGTAGGGAACAAAGTATTATTAGGGTCTCATGCCCCAAGCCATGGCCCCATCCTTTCATCCCAGCCAGTGGTATAGGCAACCCCATTCTTATGCATGCCAAGACTCTAATCCCCTCTTGAATGTGGCAGCTTCCAAGGAAAGGACAAGAGGCCTTAACTAGAAACAAAAATCCACTGTAATGAGGTGCCATGAGGACTGAACTTTTTAAAAGATTCACTCCTAACAAAGTGGTGAACGGGAAAAACTTAATGGTTCTTCTGTGACTTCTGAGTCCCAGTCCAAGAAGGTGGGAGTTACGGGAAGAAAAAACACCCGAAATAATCTGACAATGAGAACCATTTGAGTACCAATAAGACTTTTTATTCATTGTATTTTCCCGGGGAAAGGAGAAGGGAAGGAAAAGTCAGCACACGTGTTACAAAATGATTAGAAAATAGGAAAAGGAAGTATACCGGGGTACAGCAAAATCAACCATCAAATAGACACCCCAGTGATGGGGCCTCCAAAGCCCAAGGGGGCTTGGTCCTGGGCAGTTCAGGAATGATGTGAAGGGTTCAGGGAAAGAACAGACAGGTATATACTTTCCCACCCTCCCCCCTCCAACCCTCTCCATAAATTCAAGATTTCACACAAAGCTTTGGTTTCTAGCAGTAAACATGGAGTTACATTCGTCTGTCTCCTATTAAACAATCTTGAGGCCACTTTGACATAAGTTTCTTACACCTGCATAAAAGTTCCTGAGTGACTTGAATATACATTCATACTCCCTTTTCTGGTCTCCTGACCCCACTTGCTTTTCTAGGATTACAAATTGAGTAGCTTTGATCCATCCAAACGGCAGGTGTTTGGCATGAATTGCACGAACTTACAGTCTTGACTTGGGAGGTTGGGAACAAGGGGTAGGGGATCCTTGCTCCTTCAGGATTTCTACAGAAGTCATTTGAGAGTTGCAGAGATACTGCAAGAATTAAACAGGTGTGTGTGTGAGTGTGCAGATTTTCTTTAGGGGGAGAAGGCGGTAGGAGTCAAGTTTTTAGGACAGATGGTCCCAAATAGGAAACACGGGAAAGGGGACCACAAAAGCAAAGATGGTTCAAGATCCCCACTTCAAAAAGAGCCTCCCCCCAGCTTATGTTTCAGATCCTTTTGCCTGGTGCAGAACCTTCTGTCAAAGATGCTTTGGCTATTTTTCTCTCAATACAAAAAGAATTTTGTAAACAATAAAACCCCAAAAGAACATGGAGAAAAGACCAACACATTATATTTACACAAACTAAGCCACCTAGCAATCACCAACTCAGAGACTCAGCAAAAGTCCTACAAAGCCCAGACAAATATAATAATTAAGAGGGGGGCAGCATTCGGGGGAGATAAGAAACCAGGATCAGACACACACTACCCAATGCGTTCTATTGCATTTGTCCCGTCTCAACACAGTGAGGTAGGTCTGCAGTGATCTCACAGCATGTAAACGAAACCCCCCTTTTCTTTTTTAGCTACCAAGACACTACTCATCTCTACTGCAGCAGGGCAGGACACTGGTTCCTGGCACCCCGAAGAGGCCCTCTCTCCCGGGTCTCCCTGGAAGCCAAGAATGTTGAATGGTTCAGAATTTTAGTCCTTGCTTCATACAGCCATTCCCGCACAGCAGAGAATGGGCACAGGGTATCGATCTTAAAACCCAGCCTTAGCAACTCAATTTTTTTTTTTTTTTTACACAAACACACACACATACACCCTGTTGTGCATTGTCAAGCTAGGCTTATCTATCTAGTGAAGGATGGATCAGATGTGTAAAGCAAGCCCCATGCCCCTAGGATTAGACAACAACCATCACATCACCTAACCTCGGCTTCCTCTCTGGGCCTTTTACGTGGCCCAGCCTCTCCTAACTTCTCTGCACCACCTTTTCCTGTGTAGACTAACAATCTTCCAGTCGCAGATCAAGTCGCGGGGCAACCCCTTTAAGACCTAGTCTCCTAGCAAACATTTTTAAGGTGGAGGGGGTTTCAAGAGGGTACTATGGCAGAAGACTCGGCTCTAATTGGCAGAAATGAGGTAGTTCACTTCGATAGGATATGCACTCCCAATGTTTGCTCTCCATAGTGATAAAAACAAAAAGTATTCCTGCTGTGCAGACCTGGAGCTGCTGCCGACTTATCCCTGAGATTGCTCATGTACCTGAGAACACAGTGCAGGAATGAGGGCCTTAGATTAAAATATACAAAAATACAAAGCCAGAATATTTATATTACGAAAAAAAAAAGTTAAATGCACAAGATACGTCATTCGCACACAGTGCAGTTGGCATCCTGGAGAAAGTGGGACCCAAGGTGCAGTTACCCAAAGGAGCAAATAAATAAAATCGCATTGGCCCAGAAAGGGGTGGGAGTGAGTCAGGAGCAGCAGGTCTGCAGCTGTTCTCCCAACCGCCCTTTTTCCCTGTCGCTACAACCCATTGCTTGGAACAGTTCCCAGCACCACATCCCAAGATTGGGTTACGAGGGAAAAAGATACTAAAAAACCCCCGCGTTGCTCCTGAGATTCCCTCCCACGTAATGTAGTAGTAGCTGGTGGGTTAGGTCCATTCATCTGGTCTCATGCTTAATCATCTCACCCTGGCAAGGGAAATATTACGTATCCTTCTTTAAAAGGAAAACAACTTCCCTTTTCTTTTTGGGGTAAAGCCTCAGATAAAGCACGCAGGTTCTAGGGTGGTTCCCCCAGCGCCCTCACTTTTACTTGGCTAGAGCATGGTTGGAGTTCCTTTGTCTCATCCCTTCCCCCCACCGAGGGAAGACGGGGTGATGCTGGGAACCCCGGCCTGAGATACCCGGCAGTGCCAGCTACCCCGACCCACCCTATCCCCACTTTCTCCACTCTGCCGATTGATGCCTGCTCCTTGAACTTCCTGATAGCAAAGAATATTCCCCCACCCACTGCGCTCAATTTTGGGCCTCCGGAAGCAGGGCGGGGCTGTTGATCTCCTCTTCCTCCTCCTGGAAGTAGGCTGGCTTTCCCTGGGAGCTGGGAGCTTGCTGGGCCTTAAGTGGACATGAGGCCACCATATGGTTAATGCTTTGGCAGAAGTGGCACTTCTTAGGCTGGGGTGGCAGCTTGCATTCCTTGGCATGATGGTCTAGACCACCACAGTTATAGCACCTGATACAAAGCAAATATTAAAAGTGAGAGAAAGATGTGAAGAAGTCAGAAGTGCCGCCCGCCCCCACCAGGAGAACACCTGAGCTCAGGTCCAGGCTTGTCACTAACCTCCCTTCCCAGAGACCAATTTCCCCACTTATAAATGGAGGAATGTGCACTAGGTGATCTATAAATCCTTTCCAAATCTAACTAGATGATCTCTTCAGATTCAGGTCAATTTAAAAATACCAAGATGCTGAGAACAGTGTCACTGACCTGGACGGGGAAGGTAAGAGGGTATCGTAGCCTTAGTACAGAAAAATTTTTGAAGGCTAAATTATATATCAGCTCAGAGCTAAGAGGTTTTAATTCACTAGTAAGATTGCAGACATCAGCCAACTGAGACCTGGTAAGGAAACAGCAGGCACACATGTACCGTCCTGTCCCATCACACGTATCCAGTCTCTCCTCTCATCATCAGGGATCAGTGTCCTCTTTTCACTCGACAGCAATGGCTGCAAAGCAGAGGGAGTCGCCCCTCAACCATGCAGATGTTGTCAGGGACCACAGCCTTCATCTCATCTTTAGTAACCTAGCCCAAGTGCCGGATTGAGAGTCTTCCCCATCCTCAGCACGCCGGATTGAGAGTCTTCCCCATCCTCAGCACGTTTCCGTGCCTCAACAACCTCCAGAAGCTGTGGTCTAAGCCATACCTGTCTCCTTTGGATCTGCGCTTCTGCATGTTCTTCCCCTTGGGCCGCCTCTCACTCCCAATACAGAACACCCCACCAGGCCCAGTGACGCGGATGGATTCCAGGCCCTTGGCAGACTTTTTAAAGGTGAACTCCACTGCCTCACCCTCCTTCAGGCTCCGGAAACCCTCCATGTGCAGCTTACTCTGGTGAAGGGAAATACGGTAGATGTTACCATTTGTTCCCATCATTACATCCAAAAGCAAAAAATGCACAAACCTATTTCTACAAGGTAGAAAAGCATGGGTGAAGACAGCACTCCCACTTTATCAGCAAGGAAAGTATGAATTGCAAGAGTCACTAATGAACAGAAATCAACATATTCACAAAGTTTGTGTTGACATAAACACAGGTCAAAACATTTTTTCTATAGCTTTAGGGCTGGGCATGGCGGCACACACCTGTAATCCTAGCACTCGGGAGGCTGAGGCAGGAGGATTGTTGTGAGTTTGAGACCAGCCTGGGCTACAAAGTGAGCTCAAGGCCAGCCTGAATGAACTGCATAGCAAGACCTTGTCTCAAAAAGACAAAAAACAAAACAACAACAACAAAAAAAACCAAAAACCCCCCCACAAAACTATAGCTATTCAGATTCAAAATTGTAAGTAAAAAAGAACAGAAAGAAATCCCCACATGTAAATATTTGTAAGACATCAACAAATATAAAATTATAAAATAAAATCTATATAGTTTTTTATGTAGAATAAAAAGCTCAATCATTATGTATTTACGTAACACCTCAGTTTCTATATTCATCTAAAGACCAAGTATCTAGAATGTTGGAAAAAACCAAAGAAAAGTGGTACTTATATATCACAGTATTATTGGACACTTTAGTAAAGAGAAAAAGATGTGAACAGTTTAAGAAATAATCACAATGGCAGCCAAAACTTACTGCAAGTTGATAAGAGAAAACTTGATGGTGTTCAAGTGTAGCATTACCATATCTATAAAGGGACACACAGAAGTAGGACACACATATCTCCTGAGATGATTAATGTACTAAGGACATAGGACTTTAAAATGCACATCCTGAATCTAACCTTGAGGGATCATCAGACAAATCCAACCTGAAGGACATCTTACAAAACAGACTGTGTACTGCACAGAAGTCAAGATCATGAAAGAGAAAACAAGAAAAAAAATGTGTGATTAAATTCAACCCAAAACTTTGGGTTGTATCCTGGAATAGGAAAAAAATAGGAAAATTGACAGAATTTGCATATGAGTCAGGCATGGTGATGCACGCCTATAATCCCAGCACTTGGGAGGCTGAGGCAGGAGGATTGCTATGAGTTCAAGGCCAACCTGAACTGCACAGTGAAACCCTGTTTTTAAAAAAGAAAAGTAGCACACAGAGAAACAGATTAATAATTAATGAATCTGGGTAAATCCCAGCTACCTGGAAACTTGTACTATTCTTTTTGTGTGTGTGTGTATTTTTGAGACAGAGTTTCATTATGCAGTTCAGGCTGGCCTTGAGCTCACTTTGTAGCCCAGGCTGGTCTCGAACTCACAACGATCCTCCTGCCTCAGCCTCCTGAGTGCTGGGATTACAGATGTGCACTACTACACCTGGCTTTCTTGTCCTATTCTTGTACCATATTCTGTGTTTAAAATTATATCAAAATAATATTACAGGGGGCCAGGGATATAGCTCAGTGGCACAGTGCTTGCCTGGCAAGTGCAAGGTCTTGTGTTCGATTCCTGTACCAAATGGAAAAAAATAATATTATGGGAAGTTAAAGACAGTATGACCGAAGCCAACAAATCGGGGATTAAAATGGAAAGTCAGAGAGAACCGTGAATACATGGAGACATCATTAGGTGGAGAAAATAATTTTTGCTGAGAAAACTACCCCTTTGTAAATATACATGTGCAAGAAACATTTGAAAAGAATGAAATACCTAAGTTTAAGAAAAAAACTGTAAAAGGACATCATCGGGCTGACAAATCTGCAGAAAGCTACTATGTAAAAAGAATTACATACATGGGTAGTATATTTACACATATTCAATATCCACTGTTGATAAAATGGAACTAACTTAGTTGGTAAATGGTTGAGTTAAAATACAGTACATCCACAATAATGATGGCATACAGGCATTAAAAAAAAATGTATCATCTCATTCACTGCCACATTTTGGTACCTCAAATAATGCCTAGCATGTCTTTGGACAAAAGTAGATTTTTTTTTGAGATGGGTGTCTGGCTGGTTGAACTCAGTGGCTCAAGTGATTCTCCTGCCTCAGCATGTGGGGGCTACAGATGTGCCCCACCACACCTACCTGACCAGCAGGTTGATTTGTATGTGTATGTGTGTGTGGTACTGAAGATTGAACCAGGGCCCCATGCATACGAGGTAAGCACTCTGCCAGTCCCTGAGCTACATACTCAGGCCCAGAGGTAGGTAATATGGATAAATGAAAAACCAAAATTTAGAACCACTTGTAGGAAGAACCCCACTGAAATGCAGCGTATTTCTACCAAAACTAGAAAGAAATAAAAAGTCACCAAATATGGTAGCCCTTTAAAAAAAAAGAGGTAATTATTCATAGTTAATTGAGTAGCAAAACCAGGATCATAAGAACCCAGAGTTCTTGATTTAAAGCTGTCCCTACTGTTCTGCTTACTCCATCGATAGCACATAAATGAAAGGGACAGCATCTTCTAGTCCCTGTCCAGAATATCTTCATTACAGCTTCTTCTATTAGGGTAGGAAACCCACGATGTACATATCAAATCTGTCAACAAAGAATAGTCATCAGAGAAAACTGTGCCTGTAATCCCAGCATTCGGGAGGCTGAGCCAGGAGGATCGTTGAGAGTTCGAGGCCACCCTGGGCTACAAAGTGAGCTCAAGGCCAGCGTGAATTGCATAGGGAGACCCTGTCTCAAAAAGACAAAAAAAAAAAAAAAAAAAAAAAGAGAAAACAGGGTTCAAAGCAGTGATGGCAATCCCTCTGTCCTTACCTCCCTAGACCTGACTAGAGCGAACACAGATAAGTAGTACTAGTATTTTATGAGAGAATTTTTCAAATTGGGACTTAGATTAAGCATGTTCATTAGCCAAATGAGATAAATTCCTCAATCTCTCTTTCTCTGTACTGGGGATTGAACCCAAGGCATTTGCACTGTGCTGGAACTTGTGCTCTTCTGGCCTCAGTCTGCCAGAGTGCTGGGATGATAGGCATGTGTCAGTGAGCCTGGTTTCAGTCATTTTAAATTTTGTTTTAAAATGTCAGTTCTCCATTTAGTGGCTGTGTGATCTTTGTCAGATTCACCTCTGAGCCTCAGACCCTTCAAAGAATGAAAACAAAACAAAACAAAACACAAAAACAGTGCCTTTCAAGGAAATAGGTCCATGAAGATTACATGGGCACAGAAATACCAAGTAGACAGTAACTACTGTCCCATCATACTCCAGAGATATGGGATCTTTTCACTTTGTGGGGGTGGTTTGCTGGGGATTGAACAAGCTAAGCATGTGCTGTATTCCTGAGCTATATTCTCCAACTCCTGTATTTGATTTTTATGCCCACAGACACATCCAGGAATGTGACGATTCCCCCTACTCCCACCCCACTCGATGTGGGCAAAGGGACAGGCATTAAAACAGGAAATAGGCTGGGGATTTAGCTCAGCGGCAAAGCGCCTGCCTGGGAAGCGCAAGGTCGTGAGTTTGGTTCCCAGTACTGGAGAAAAACAAGAAAAACAAAAAAACAAAAAACAAACAAACAAAAAAAAAACAGGAAATAAACCACCAGGTGTGGTGGTGCACACTTGTAGCCCAGCTTTCTGGAGGCTGAGGTGAGAGGATTGCCAAGAATTTGAGGGCCACCTGGGCTACATAGTGAGATCAAGGTTAGCCCGAACTGCATAGTGAGACTCTGGTCTCAAAACCAAATGTAACAATAAAAAAAAACAGGAAGTAAAAACACTGCCATGATGAAAGCACCTTTCCTCCTCCCCGGTACACAATAATCACCCTGAATTTAAAGTCAGATGAGATTTGTCTCTTTGTTTATTTTGTCTTTCTTTGAGACAGGGTCTCGCTGTGCAGTTCAGGCCTGCGGAGAGCTCACTTTGTAGCCCAAGCTGGTCTTGAACTCACAACGATCCTCCTGCCTCAGCCTCCCAAGTGCTGGGATTACAGGCGTGTTTCACCATGCCCGGCTTGAGATTTGTCTCTTGCTGGACTTGGATGTGTAAATTCAGTGGGCGGGGAGGACCTTGAGAAGCAAGACCAAGAAGTCTTCTCACCAGGCAACTCCAGTGTCATCTGGCCTGGGACACCCTCAGTCCAACTGTGACCCAGCAGGTGATAAGGACAAGGACTGAGTCCCAAGGCCTGTGTCCTCCTTTCCTTACTCATTTATAAATCGGAGCGTATACTCGCCTTATGGTGGTGCTGTGAGGTTTGATGCATGAAAAATCACTAACACCTCATCTGCCACACATCAATCCTTTTCTTCAGGCTGGATGGGAGCAAGCGAACAGAACCCAGTATCAGGAGACTCAAAGCTAACTTTGGCTTTCTCACTAACCAGCTGTAGAAACTCAGCAAGATACCCCTCTCTGAGCTCCAGCTCACTAAGTAGCACCCTCCCCTCCACTGACAATGTATAGGCTTGTGAGAACAAGGGGTAATGTAAACAGGGACATGCAATGTGACACTGACCAGTCCTTGTGTCACTGGAGCACTTGAAGTCTGTTTAAGACCTTTAAAGCATATAAAAAACTCATTCAGGCCCCTCCATGTAACTGGCGGGCTAAGATTTAAAACGGTGATCTCTTGGGGTCGCTCCCTGCCCCCCATCCCTGCTCCTTGGCAAGACACATAGTTTGAATTCCTCCCTTATCAGATAGGTAATCAGTGTGCAGCCCCACAGCCAGTCTCTCTGGGCCTGCAACTGAAAGAAGCCTGAAATTCTTGTACCACCCCCACTCTATCCTCAACCACACACAAAGCAGGACCCGGCCCCTCCAGATCCCCTCCAAAAAGAAAAGGGCTTGGGGGGGGAGGGGCCTGGCCTGAGCTCCCCCAATAGAGCACAGCCCCAGGGAACAAAGAGTTGACACTGGTTAGTTCTGGTGGTCAGATTCCTGGAGTTCCAAGGCACAGATCCCCCTTGCATGGCTCACC